GGCGGCATGGAAGAAAGGCCTGGTGATCTGCTTCATAAAGATTATAGCCAAGAAAACTTCATGGAGCAGTTCTACTCTATAAAACATGGGGTCACCGTAAGTCAGAATCGACTCAACAGCAACAGGTTAGGGTTGTTGTGAAGATTAAATGAGTTGAGACTTATAAAGGTCTTAGAACAATGCTGGACACATAATATATACTTGATGAAGTAGTTATTACTATCTCGCAGGACTATTGTGAAGATGAAACTGAATAATGTGTTTAGTCAACATGCACCTAGTACACAGTAGATACTCAACAAATGGGAGTGATTATTACTAGTTATTTAGGAGATGATAACCCTTATTGTTTTTCTTCAAGAAAACCCATTTTACTTTTAAACCCTCATCCTCATACCCTTGTGGTATCCTAATACTAGTCAGGACAAAGGAGAGAAAATTATAATTCAAAATGACCAAGGTTAAGTAACTTGGCTGGTTAATTATTTATAAAGTGCTTGATAAATTTGTTAAGTGGCAAAGGAGGTGTTTTATAAACTGTAAAGCACTGGATGAATAAGAGGAAACACATGTCCGTTTGAGTCTCACTGTCTTGGCAAAATGGATCATAGCACGCTTGCCTGTTTTCCCCTCACTGTCAATGAACAGGACTGACAATGTCAGGCAAGCTCTAGGGATGAGGCTGGAGTTAACTGCAGCTGTGAGGTTGATGAAAACACAAACCACTTCTGTGGTGGGTTCAACACACGTATCAGCCCTCACATTTCCTGGTCATGTGGTGATAGATTTTTTTTTAAGACTGAGAACTCTATTTATTCTTTTCGATTACAGCAATTGCAAGGTGCCACAGGTTAAACTCAAGAGAGTCTGCATACTTTGATGGAGTCAAAAGACCTAGTTGTGTCTCCCTCTAGGACTCATGTCATTAAAGTTGCCAACACACAAAGAAATTTAACTTAAACTGTCACATTACCCACAGCTCTTCAAAGCTCATCAATCTCCCATTAGAGTACCAGGATGGTGTGACACTTTTATCACAATTACACTGGAAGAAACACGGTGTTGTAACACTGTGGCCAAGTCAGGGAAGAGACTCCCTTTGATGGACGATCACAGTTGATCAAGTTTGTCAGTTGCTTTATGTGTTTTTATGCTTGTTTGATATTCCTGCCCAGAGAGCAGAGGCTTTTAAGGGCACATCTGCCAATGAATTCAATTTCACAATGCCATGTGATTCTTTTACTTACCCCTGTCTTCTCATCAAAGATTTTGATTCCTCCAAAGGAGATGGTTAAAAAGATTTTCTGTTTGTGTTCTCCTTTGGAACGAGCGCCAGCAACAACGCCCTGTTGAAAGGAAGGACATGGTTTTTATTTTAGTGTTTTCATTTGAAAATTCCCTCTGGTCCCAAAGGCATGTCAGATACCATCAACTGATGCTACCAATCATGTGCACTTCTTTCTCTTGCCCCTTCCATGTTTCTTTACACAGTGTGCTCGTATCTTGATACTTTAGGAGAATGCTTTCCTAGCTATACTAGCACTGCATAAATAGTTATTTGAGCATTCATTCATTCATTCTACTAACCAAGATTTATATAATGCCTAAACTGTGCTAGATACTTGGCACAGAATTGGGTTATCCCAAGAGAAACACAATGGGGTTCACATATTAATATCTGGGCTGGGCTTTATTGAATATGATTTTAACCTTTTAAAGAAAGGTGAGCCACTAAACACATTCCTAAAACGAAATCCTGATTAGTTTTACACCGCTGGAAAAAGTTTTCATACGAATCAATTTCAGAGATTAGAAAATAAAAATCTATTGCCAGACTCTCAATCTTGCTTGGAAAAAAATATGATCATCATAGCTGTATACCTGTGGTTTACAATTTTTGCCTGAAGACACTTCATTGTTGTTTTTTTATTTTTTTTACCCTTTTCCTTATCACCTCTGTGCTTTCAAGATAAGTGCCTACCAAACGCATTGCTATTACTGAAGTATCTGTTCCCCAACTTTTCCAAACTTTTTATAACCAGAGAAATGTATATAAGTCATTTGGAATTTAAGCTTCATAAAACTTAGGGATGCTATTTTCTCACTGCCGTACCCCTACTGCCTAGAACAGTCCTGAAGGGCAGGAGGTGCTCAGGAATAATTGTTAAATGAATGTGCTACCCAGAGCCTCCCCAGAGCTGATATGATTCAAGTTAAGAGTAAAGGCACCTGCTTTTTAAATTAGCCTCTGTGGTGGCCAGTAACAGGTAATCATCAGCTTCACACTAGCGTACAACTCAGAGGGTAATGCTTTTTCAAGGGATTTACACTCAAGGGCTGTTGCTGACACTGCATTATATGTCTTGTATCTTCCAGCCCCTCATCACTTTTCCTCAACAGATGGCATAGACTAAACTCGACTTTCAGCTGCTATGGTTCTGAGCTTTCCGGAGTAGACAAGTCTACCATAATGATGATTTCACATTTCCAGGAGATGAAAGTAGTTTGTGCTGCTCTCAGAATACTATGTTCTCAACACCAGTCTTAGAGAACGGCTGGTGTTAGAGAGCAATAGGTATGCCCAAGGGGCACAAGGCAGGCATATTCTCTGGGATCATTTGGCTAGCCTCACTTTGGGTATTGGAAAGATTCTGTGGAGTCAGAATATCAGGATTACACTCCTGGCTCGGTGTGATCATGGACAAATCACTTAACCTCTCAGTTCAGCTTCCTCAAGTGTAAATTCTTATTTTGCAGGGTTGAGAGGATTAAATGAAAATTTATATTAAGTACCTAGTACAGTGCCTGGTACAATATAGGGATGTATCAAAATTAATTGCTTCTACTATAATGCATGAATCACTTTTAGAGGGTCACTTAAAGTATGTGGTCCAGTTTCTTTCTGGATACTTAAATCTGTTGCCACCAGGGTGATTCTAACAAGTGTAGACCTCATAATTTGCAGAGTAGAACTGCACTCCATAGGGTTTTCATGGCTATGACCTTTCAGAAGCAGATTACCAGGCCTTTTTTCCAAGGCACCTCTGAGAGGATTCAAACTAACAATCTTTAGGTTGGTAGTTAAGTGCTTAACCATTTGTGCCACCTAGGGAACCACATATTTGGGGATACTTACTGGTAGGAAATTCACTCTCTCATAAATGGCCCATTCATCGTCAAGCCTTCTTACACACTTAGAGACATACAAAATGTTAAACCAGTTTCTTCGAGTCCATTCTGACTCATGGCAACACCATGTGTATCAGAGTAGAATCATGCTCCATAGGGTTTTCAATGGCTGACTTTCTGGAACTAGATCACTGGGACTTTATTCTCAGGCACCTCTGGGTGAACTCGAACCCCAAACCTTTCAGTTAGCAGCTGACCACATTAACCATTTGCACCACCCAAGGACTCCTACAGAATATTAGAGCCAGAAAAAACCTTAAAATTAACCTATCCAAGTTCTCCATTTGACAGATGAGAAAAAGATGCCCCAAAAGGAAAATGGATAGTCCAGAGATGGCACAGAGGGTTGGTGGAAAAGCTGAGACTACTACTCAGGTCTCCAGACTCCTGATGCAGGGAGCAGTTATTATTCCACACGTGTGGCACACCCTACACACAAAACAGCACCTCAATCTTTATTCCTTACATCATCTGACACACTATGTATTAAATTTGTTGTTTCTCTGTCTTTCCTCAGTTAAATAAAAGCTCAAATATATATGGAGTTTCGTCTTATTCATTCTATATCCCCAGTGCCTAGAACAGAGCCTGGTATATAGCAAGTACTCAGAGAGGAGGTGATGTGACTTTCCTTCACCTTGGATAATAACTGAGTGGCCACATTAGACTCTGAACCTATAATGACTTGACTTGCAAATCTGTGTCCTTGGATGAATGTGGAGTAAACTGACTTATAACGTCAACACCCCTCTACCCAACCTCCATCCTCAGAAATCTGGAAGCCACAAATGGGAGAATAAGAAGTAGCCCCCTCATTAATGAAAGGATTGGAAGGGTAGTGTCAAAAGGGAAAGAAGTCTCTCATTTTTGCCTTATTCCTTCCTCAGTGAGGACATCATTAGACAGGACAGGGAGAGGGTTGCACTTTCGGTCAATGTGATGGTTAATTTTATGCATCAAATAGGCTAGGATATGGTGCCCACTTCTTTAGTACAACACTAGTCTAGTTGCTGTTATAAAGTAATTACATGTAATTAAATCAGTTGGCCTCAAGTAAAGCAGATTACCTTCCATAATGTGGGTGGGCCTCAATCAATCAGGTGAAGACCTTAAGAGCAAAAAGAGAGTTTTTCCCTAGGATGTATTCTGCTTCTAGACTATAAACAGTCATTTTGTCAGAACAGTCTTACTCTTCACTCTTCTCATAACCTGATCTATGGATTTTGGTACGCAAGTCTGTAGGAGTCGCCAAATTGTTACGTGACCTATGAATTTGGGACTTGCCAACACCCTCGATCACATGAACCAAGTCCTTGAAGTAAATCACCTAAATATTTCTCTCTGTGTATATATATATATACACATATATACATACATATACACACACACATATATATATACACACATACAGTGTATATATACATGAGTAAATAGACATATGAATATTTTCTGATACAGTTCTGGAAGATAAGCCCCCTAGGTTGGAAGTCACCCAAAATACACCAGTGGCCACAACAATGGACTCCAGCATACCAACGATTTTGATGAGAACATAGGCAAGGGCAGTGTTTCGTTACATAGGGTCCCCATGAGCCAGAGCCAACTTGACAGCGACTAACGACAGATATATATATATAAATATATAGATATATAATATATAAATATATCACTGGTTTTGTTTCTCTAGAGAATCCTGACTAAGACAGTCAGGAAGAGTAAGCTTCAATGTCACCGTCTCCATAACAGTCTGAATAGTTCCTAGCTCACAGGATTACCGGATCATCAAATAGCAACAGTGCCTGGCACATAGTAGTGCTGTAGGCCCCCTTTGCTCGCGGGTTCCAGTAGCTATCAGAAAACCCCCTGGTAGAACATGGCTGTGCATAAGAAAGGATGGAAAGAGTAAACTTGTATCATATTCCAGGAGCACTTCTGCTTGGGGCTACTGGTGGCAGCTTTACATGAAAAAATGAAAAAAAGAAGGGCCATCCGCACAGTGCTATCTTTGGGGAAATAGAAGTCCAATTTTATCAAACATGTTTCTCCTGTGAGTCAGGACCCAGAGTCAAGCTCTAAAAAATTGCTCCATGTCCAAGCAGACCTGCCACCAGACCACATGCCTCAGGACCTCCTCTCCGCAAGAGATTATTCACTGCCATTATGTAGAACTATCATAGGTTCAGAAACCCTGCTGGTGTAGTAGTTAAGAGCTATGGCTGCTAACCAAAAGGTGGGCAGTTCGAATCCACCAGGCACTCCTTGGAAACCCTGTGGGGCAGTTCTACTCTGTCCTATAGGGTCACTATGAGTCAGAATCAACTCGATGGCAACGGGTTTGGTTTTTTTTTTTGTTATCGTAGGTTCAGAAGACAGCACTGGCCCAGGCGACAGAGGCTGTGGATGTAGGTGCTGTTTGGGGTTCTGGGCCTAATATCAGCCACTTGACCTAATAAATCACCACTGGAAACCACAAGTTTCCTCTGTGGTTGGAGAGACAGACATTTTCTTGGGTATCCCATACCACAATCCTGGGAAGTAAGAATTGTTTCCTATCTTTTACAGATGAGGAAACTTTCAGACAGGGACATCAACTAACATCTCAAAACCTCAAAGAGCTAAGACAAATATTGCATGATTTCACTAATATGTAATACCTAGAAAAGGCAAATGTACAGAGATTACAGAGTTTAACAGTGTTTACCAAGGATGGGAGGGACAGGGTAAGAGGCAAATCATTGTTGAGGTGGCATTGAGTTTTGACTTATGGGAATAAAAAATTTGGCAATGGAAATTGGTGACGATTGTACAAAATTATTGATGCAGTTGATTTTACTGAACTGGACACTTGAAAAAATGTTGAACTGGCAAATATTGTGTTCTCTATATTTTTCCAACAATTAAAAAAAAAACAAAACCTTCAGCCAAAGATTAGACAGCCCCATAAAACAAAATGAGACTAATGGGGCACAAGATGACAAGGACAAGGACTAGAAGGCAGGAGGGGACAGAAAAGCTGGTAATAGGGAACCCAGGGTTGAGAAGGGACAGTGTTGACAAGTCGTGGGGTTGTTAACCATTGTCATAAAACAATATGTGTACTGTTTAATGAGAAACTATTGGTTCTGTAAACCTTCATCTAAAGTACAATAAAAAAAAA